TGTTTATAACCTGAACACTGATAACTCCCAGAACGCAGTGATAAGCCTCGGAAAATTCCATATTCTAAGAAGATCCATAATATGACGAAAAGAGGTACTTTTTGTCTAGCAGGCCGGACTGAAACCTCACTTCTTATCTATCTTATCTAACGTCACGTCACATAACCTCTCTCTTCTTATCCCGCCAAACCTTTCAGTTATTGCATTGTTTAGTTTTCAGTTATTCCCTTATTATTTTCACTTATTAAATTGTTTACTTTTGGCCTTTTTGTGTTTATTTTTCATTATTTTTAGTTTTTGGCCCGTTTGTGTTTATTTTACATTTTTATTAGTTTGTGGCCCCTTTGTGTTTCTTTTCGGGTACTTTTTGTCTAGGGGGCCGCTACTGACTGCTATCTGCCAGTGTTTATAACCTGAACACTGATAACTCCCAGAATGCAGTGATAAGCCTCAGCAAATTCCATATTCTAAGAAGATCCATAATATGACGAAAAGAAACACAAAGGGGCCACAAACTAATAAAAATGTAAAATAAACACAAATGGGCCAAAAACTAAAAATAATGAAAAATAAACACAAACGGCCCAAAAGTAAAGAATTTAATAAGTGAACGTAATGAGGGAATAACTGAAAACTAAACAATGCAATAACTGAAAGATTTGGCGGGATAAGAAGAGGGAGGTTATGTGACGTGACGTTAGATAAGAAGTGAGGTTTCAGTCCGGCCTGCTAGACAAAAAGTACCCACATATGTAGCGGTTTCCAGCAGCAATTCTGTCAAATTATCATTGGTTATCCAGCTACTGAGGCACCTGAATTCCGAACAGCATTGTATTTGGTATTCTAGCAGTAGGAGTCTTCTTTTCACCATAATTTTGTGTGATCTGCATATACATGGTCTTCTGAACTGTAATTTCAACCCAGAGTTCTCTTGTAGTTCCCAAGAACTCTTTCAGTACATTTGATAAAGCTTGAAGAACTCTTGATGAGATAACCACGTTATCAGCAAAAGCAAGATGTGTCAGGCGGTTGAAACTTGCACCGCCCGGATTAGATCGTATTTTATGAATTGAGGACTCTAACACTAGGTTAAAGAGCAGAACTGACAGTGGGTCATACTGTAATACTTTAAATCCTTTGGAGCATCTCTGTCCAATCTTGATCTTACTGGATGTTTCTTAAGAATCATTTCAATGAGCCTAATAAATTTTTTTGGGATTCCTAAAGTATTAGGACATTTGTAAATATTATCCCTATTAAAAGTATCATAGACCTGCTTGAAACCAATGAATTCATGGTAGAGAGTGATATTACACTCATTTTCTTTCTCCAACATTTATCTTGCTGAGAATATAAGTTCAGTGGTAGCTTGAACTGGTATAAAGCCACATTGGTATTTTCCTATTACTTTCTCAAACAATTTTATTAATCTTCTGCTGGTCGCTATAGAGATCACCTTGTATACTAAATTATTTCAAGGAGGGATATTTCCTATTAATCTCTACAATCTGTTCGGCTCCTCTTTTTCTATATAGAACAGATTAGTGCTTCATTCCTTTCCTCAGGCATTTTTTTGGAAGTCCACAAATCAAACATAATCTGATACACATTCTGCTATATGTCCTGTCATGTATACATAGATAGTTCTGCATGTATGCCATCTCCTTCTGGTATCATATTATTTTTAAGGTTCAAGGTGATCTTAATTATCTCCTCTATTTTAGATGGATTATCTTCTTCTTCCAGTGTTAAAAAATTTTAATTTACTTCAAGATCCGACTCCATAAAGGATAGGCAGAATAACCTACTTTATGGCATATATGAAGTTCTAGGTAGGTGGAAGAGTCATTTCGAGAAAGTTTTAGGAAGGAAAAAAAAGACCCACCACCCGATATGTGCAATGGACCATTTAGAGGAAGAACTGGAAAGAATTAACATGTACCATAAGAAAACAAATAATTACAATAACATTAATCATTATTGAAACAATAAAAGATAATTGAAAAAGAAATATAAAAACTACATGGTCCAAGAAAGAAATTACTAGGAAGAGATAACTAAATTACTGCTACAGTTACCTCTTCACACAGAAAATAAATATAGTTAAAGACATAATAAATAGATCAATAATGATAAACATTGTTTGTAAAAAAATAAAAAGAAAGAATATAGTATACTTGACAATAATGAAAAACATAGAAACAATTGGTAAACAAAATAATATAGAACAAATTAGAAATAACAATAAGATATACCAATAATTTAAAATGTATTTGTCCAGACAGACAGAGGCTAGATTTTCCTGCTGTGAAAAACTAAAAACATGCAGTAAAAAATGAAACATGTCCAAGATCATGCATTAAAAACTAAAAGTGTGTCAATGGGTAGATAAACACCTTAAACAGCTATGTTATCTGCATATTCAAGGATTCTCTAATTCATTCCGACATGCACTCCTCCATTTTCAAATGTTGTACTCATTACCTTCTCTAGGGCTAAGTTGAACAGCATTGACAACAGTCATTCTTCCTGCTGCAAACTAGTTCAAGCGTTGAAGGCTTCAAGTTATTATCGTGGTATCAATATGACATTTTGGATCATTCGTATAAGCTTTCGCCAACCTCATTAAATTCTTAGAAACTTTCAGCTTAGTCATCATTTTCCAAATACAGTTTTTGTCCCCTGGTAGCTCTGAAATCAACAAATATGTAATGCTATTCCTGGGCTAATTCCCATTATTTTTAAACACCTACTTTAGGACAATGATCTGGTGCATGCTCGTTCCTCTTCTAAATTCAGTCTTGGTGGTCACTAATTGTATTTTTGAAAAACAGATATATCCAGCAGTCTAGCAGGATAACCATGATTATCTTGTAGGCAAAAGGGAGGAGTGCTATGTCTCTTTACACTTGTAGATGAAGTCCTTCTTTAGGATGAGGTCGATTAGGCCCAAGACTCTGTTATTCTTTCCTCCTCCCATATTTTCTTAATTAGTCGTATTAGCTTGGTACTTCTTCCATATCTTTAAACAGCTCTGAAAGTACATTGTTCTTCACTGGAGCCTTTCTTGTTTTAATATAATTAAGGAAAAAATTATAAATAAAAAACATATCATATTTAAATACATAATATATATATATATATATATATATATATACCAAGAGTATAAATATGAAACAGATATTCGTTCAAAGATAGCTCTATTTGTTAGTGTAGTTGCTGATAAATCACATTATTGGAACCATTTTAAGAAAGATTTTCAACAGTACAAGTTTCAAAATTCATTTCATGACCTTCACAGAATTTCACCTTTGGAATTATCCTTGCCTTTTGAAAATATTTGATAGCTTCTTCTTCTGAAGAGGGCAATTTCCATAGTGTAATAATATCCATTTGAACAATAAACAATGGAACAAAAATAAACAAACAGTGGAATAACTCACAAGTAACAGAAGGATAACAACAGCTTATACGAGATAAGAAGGGACGTTAGATAAGATAAGAAGGGAGGTTTCGTCCCGACCTGATTCTTTACAAGTACCAACTTCTATTATTGTTATTATTAATTTAATTTGTATGATTGCTAAGGTGTGACTTTATTCTGAATAAAAAGAATTAAATCATACGTCCTTTTACAGTAAGGAATAATAGAATGTATACTGTTATTTATAAAATGAAATGTTTGAACTAGAGTAATAATTTTTTCAGCTATATCAAACATGTCCCAAAAATTTATAATATCCCCACACTCCAGAAATACAAAGATTTAGATGAAACTTTTCTATAATTTTCTAATTAATGTCCTTTCAATTTTTGTACATGTACTAAATTCCTAAGAAAATTCAAGAAAATAAGTTTAATAAGAAAATAAGAAAAATGTTTTGTGGCTTAACTCGCTAATTATACATTCTAAATATATATAAAAACCTTTGAAAGGTAATTATATTACCTATAAAACAAAAAAAAATTCATTGGAATCCAAGCAGTATTAGCGACGATACAGCATATTCTATTTTCTATACATGTTTTAATTTATTACAATACTTTCCTATCTATAATAGGTAAGGAAAGTATTGCAAATGGGTAGAATTTCCAATGTGCGGTTTTCAACGGATCTATACATTTCAGAGCCCCCTTAGCCCGAAAAACACATTTTTGGCCTGTATTTTTTTTTTTTTTTTTAATGTAATGAAATTCCCTACAAAACTATACAAAAATTATTTGAACAACAGTTAACGAAGTTATAATAGATATTTAATTTTGTATCTAAGATTACAAATTCAAATCCCGTTGCTGGAAAGGGGTCAAAGAGGGAAAAAAGAAAAGTAAAAAAATCTGGTGCCCGCATCATACGAGTTTCACTTTCTGCTCTATTTTTAGCAAAAATTATTGTCTGACAAAATTGGCCTATTGCAAACAAGTTTTTGATTAACAATGTTAGAGTGAATTGAATTTTTTATGCTGATTTCTTCTTTGATCAATGTTCAGTAAAATAAATCTAATTAATTTTTTTTTCTTCTTAAAGGACATATTTAAAGATATAAATTTTTTTTCTGAAATCGATGGGAAAATGGTGTGAGTGGATACAACATATTTTTTTTTTTGGTTGAAATAACCAATGTTAGGCAATTCAAATTCAAATTTAACCCTAAAAGTGCACACTAGGCTATTTCATACAACAATAAATCAAATATTGCATTTAATGTAATAATAATTTTTTATCATTATTCCACAGTCCATGAAATGGCTAGATAATTGGGTTCAAATTTGTTTTACACAAGTGAATAGAAAATGCTTTAACATGGCAATCCGCTTGTTACTTACTAATAGCCATCATAATCCTTTCAGTTCGAAATTTTAATTATGAGAATTTTTAAAAGAATCAGTTTGTTTTTTATAGTCTTAGACTGTTGGTATGCAACTTGATATAGATATTCTTGAATAGTTAAAAGAAAAAACATATTATAAAATAGGTAAGTTATAAAACTAAATTTACTCACTTTCTTCCAAACCACATGCTAATGATGATGTGGTAGCTAGACAAAATGGTGCCAAAATATTAGCAAAATACTGAGCAGTAACAGAAAAATGTTGCTTGAAAGCCCAGAAGTAAAGATAGACAAAGGATACTGATTCAATAATGCTACGGAGAATGGCTAAACAAAAAGATAAAAACCAATAATTAATTAATTATAACTGAATAAGCCTAATAAGAAAAAAATTACAAAAATTCATTTCAAGTAAGTGATAGTTTAAGCCAGGGGTCTCCAAACTTTTTGGTCCTCAGCAGGCCCTTAGGCAGCATTGAGAACTCCACTAAGTCCAGTGGACAATGGTTTGTGATGAAAAAAAAAAAAACTTGTTCTATAAATGACACTTGTGATATGAGCTTTCTAAGAGAAGCAATAAATGTTATAGTAACCTTCTGTTAGAGTGATTTACTAAATTTTGTGAGTATTTTGAACCCTTTAGATGCGCAAAGCCAATATAGATACCGGAAAGATCATGGTTCTCGCGCCCTGAGCCAATATATATTGTAACGTTCCTCTTTCCCTCCAAAATCAAACAACGAGTTTCCTTTTTCAGTATACTATTTATTTTGACATATAACATAAATTTCAGGTTGGGTTCTGACAGCTGAACACTCATTCAACATTAAATAACTATAATCTACACTAATTTACTAATTACTAACTACACTTATATATAATTTAAAATAGTTTTATAAAATAATTTGTCCCGGTCTAAACTTTTGGTTCTATCCCTCTGTCACATAAGTGGCATTGTTAGCACTCACCCAAATGTTTACGCCTGTCAGCGAAATAATCTCTTCTTACTTACTAATGTCCCGTTTTCTGTACCACTTAATTCTTTTCTGCTATGTTTTTTCCTTCCAACATAAAATAATCTCCACAAGTGGCCTTTATCAACACTCGAACCGGCTAGGACTCCTTTTTCACCTTCTCAGCTTGCTGGCTAGCACCTTCTCCTTGGCAGCTCATCACCTTCTCTCTTGACAGCTTGTCACATTCTCTCTTGGCCGCTATCACCTTCTCTCTTGGCGGCCCGTCACATTCTGAGTTACATGAGGCTTGCTTCCCCCACCATCCGCACACACTTTCTCCCCGTAGTTCGTGCTGTTACCACTTTCGTGCCACTATTTAAATGCCATGTAATGTTGACATTACATTTCTCCTCCGTTCCAGTTTAAAAAAAAATAAAAATGGAAATTTAAAATTCGGTGAATTATTTACATTTTTTTTTTTCATATAAAATAATAAATTTAACTTTTGACATTCACACTTTTTACAATAGAGTTCCCAACCTAGTTATCAAACATTGACAATTTTATATACAAAATTATTGAATTATTTACACTATATTACTTTAATCTACATACAGTAATTACATAACTTGTTCATCTAATTTATGTACAGGAAAAGTAGATTGATATACAAGTAATAAAATAAGCTGAATACATTATTTACCAAAATAAATTTACCTTATAATTCCTATATCTTATGTATAATTAACTTACAAAATAACTGTTTAAATTACTTGTATAACATTCAAAAATATTTTTTAACTTGTATTATAGGAATAATCAGAGAGAAGACACTAATTAACTAAGACAATTTCTAACTTTCTTCTAAAATTTGGATTTTACCTAGCAATATCCGGCCAAAACAACTTATTTAACTTTTAGATATTAATCTATTATCCTATCTACCAACAATGTAATTAGACTATTTACAAGTTATCCAGAATGAGTAACCTAACGATGGTTTCGCCAGGACCCTCTAGCTCGTCAACGGAAGGGACGCTAATTTAACACCCTTTTTTATCCTCTGGATAGAATAAAGACTACCGTGTCTCACTATAACATAATGAACGACCTGCCCTAACATGATCCAGGATCATATAATCCCCATAAAACTCATATTCTAGAATAAGTAGGATGACTGGTAATCCATTACAATCAAAATTATACTTAGTGAGTCCATGGAATGACACTTCATATAATCCTGTTCTTTTCTTACTCCAGTCATCAAACTTTCCTAACTCATCTTTAAATCGTAGAGTTAACTTTTCTGGAATTAAAATAACTTCTGAACTAAAATAATTACCATGCTTTTCTCTGCTGGATTTTACTCCTTTGAACTCAATTTGAAACTTGAGAAGTTCTTTCTTGATATCTATAAGATTAACTGTATGAGTTTCTACTAGAAATTCTGTTGTCACTAATTTTTCTTCAAGGGTTTCTTTATCTTTTCTTAAGAGATTTTCTGATCCAATATCAATTGAAGAATTAATTTTGCTAAGCTCTTCAGTAACAGTTTGCTTCTCATCACTTTCTGAGTGACCAAAAGTAGTTTTCTCAGCCAGTTTCATTTCTTGAACTTCAGTTATATTTGCAATAATTTGGGTTTCTAGGTTATCACAATCTTGTTTCAAAATTTCCTGTTCATTAATAGAAGTTTTTTCAGCCAGTGTAGTTTCTTGGACTTCAGTTATATTTGCAATAATTTGGGTTTTTAAGTTATCACAATCTTGTTTCAAAATCTCCTATTTATTATTAGATTCTAATGTTTTGTTTACATTATCAAATTGAATATTAACCTTATGAAGCATAGCCATTAATTGTTGAAACATATTATTAATATCAGTACAATTCAAATTGTTGCTACTACTTAAATCTATTTTTTCACCCTCCATATTATTTTCACTAAACTCATTTATTTCATTTAATCCCAACAGACTTTCACTTCCGTTTTCACACTGTCTATTTTCATCAAGTAGGCTTTGTACAACTGACTCTTCCTTATTTTCTACACTAACAACATTCCCATTAGATTTTCCAACAATTATATTATTAAGATCTCTAACTTCTATTATCTCTCTCTGCTTATTCTCCATATTACTCAAAAATGATTAACAAAAACAAATAAAATTAAAATTAACAAGGATTGCGTGTTCAGCTGTCGTGACTATGTACGTTTTCAAAAGCCACGCTAGTTGGGCGCCTTGTTGTAACGTTCCTCTTTCCCTCCAAAATCAAACGAGTTTCCTTTTTCAATATACTATTTATTTTGACATATAACATAAATTTCAGGTTGGGTTCTGACAACTGAACACTCATTCAACATTAAATAACTATAATCTACACTAATTTACTAATTACTAACTACACTTATATATAATTTAAAATAGTATTATAAAATAATTTGTCCCGGTCTAAACTTTTGGTTCTATCCCTCTGTCACATAAATGGCATTGTTAGCACTCACCCAAATGTTTACGCCTGTCAGCGAAATAATCTCTTCTTACTTACTAATGTCCCGTTTTCTGTACCACTTAATTCTTTTCTGCTATGTTTTTTTCTTCCAACATAAAATAATCTCCACTAGTGGCCTTTATCAACACTCGAACCGGCTAGGACTCCTTTTTCACCTTCTCCTTGGCAGCTCGTCACCTTCTCTCTTGACAGCTTGTCACATTCTCTCTTGGCCGCTATCACCTTCTCTCTTGGCGGCCCGTCACATTCTGAGTTACATGAGGTTTGCTTCCCCCCTCATCCGCACGCACTTTCTCCCCGTGGTTCGTGCTGTTACCACTTTCGCGCCACTATTTAAATGCCATGTAATGTTGACATTACAATATAGATTCCAGCTCTTTATCATTTAGTTGCGCAAAGCGAATATTCTTGGTTTGTTACAGAGCTCTCTACTGGGGGCCCCACGAGTCATAGGTTATTGCTGGAAACACTATGTAGTGTAAGATGTATTATTTATTCGTAGGTACCCTTTAGGGAAAGGCTCCACCCGTATTTCACCTTTCTCAAGTCTTTTGAACACGGTCTAGCCCTAAAACTAACAGCAGTTAGTAGTGTTTTGAAGTAGGGAGGTAGAAAATGAGTTTTAAAATTTGTTTAAATCTTTAAAAAATGTTTAATTTTGTTTCAATTGTAGTGCAAGTTATAAAATTAACCATACAATGAAATCTTTTTTAAAAATTTTCCATATCAGAAATTGGTTAATAATAAAAAAGGTAAATAAAAAATTTCAAATGAAGAATAAAAAAATAATGTCACTATATGTACCAACAAAAATATTAGAATATATAAAAAAATAATGTAATGTTGCAGGATAATGTAAAACAATTAAGAAATTATAAAATTAAAAGAAATATTTAAAAAAATATATATTTAACTGTTTCTTAAAATATGAGCTAACATCATATTAAAGAAAATTTATAAGTCAGAAAAAAAAAAAAATATTTTAATGTGAAAAAGTGCTAAGTGACGGGAACAATTCAGTGAATAAATTCCGTGCACAGAGGGTTGGCTAGACAATGATCTTGATTAAGGCTCCACGCAACTAAAAAGTTGAATACTTTTAAAATTTGACCATGTAATCAAAGAAACTTTTGGTTCAAGCAAAAGCAATCTAGCTAGATCTCAATTCTTGATTACTCAGTATTAAAATATAAATTTAAAATATTTTTTATACAAAACTAAGATAGTCAAGTAGGTTGCAAATCTGCTCTCTACCTCCAAATAGTGTGACCCCAGCAACATCATAATTGGTTCGCCTACAGCAGCCTTGCACAGAAGATGGGCCAATAAAAGGCATTATCATATGTAATGAAGGAAGTAAGGCAAACAAACCCAATTTTATCAGCATTATTTAATGTGGTTTTGGAAATAGTTATGAGAGTTAAAACAAAAATAATTATAAGGACAAATTGGGGATGTATTTATGATTAAATAACACAACATGTAGCTATCACTGATTTAGAGGAATATACAGGGTCGATATCATAAATCGATATCAGGGTCGACTCTTTAAGTTTTTGGAGCATTGGACCCGTATATCGATCAAATCCGAAAAGTTACAAAACGTCGAGACCCGGGGGCCCAATATCAAATTCGACAGCATTTTCATTATAAGCGTCCCCCAAAACATAATAGTCGACCCTGATATCGATTAAATCCGAAATGTGACAAAACAAAAATTATATTATATAAAATAAAAACATTTTTTTTTTTAAATTACTCATGGCCTTAAAATGTTTCATGAGTGATTTATTCATGGGGATAACATTTTTCATGAGTGATTTACTCCTGGAGGAAAAATGTTTCATGAATAATTTTCAA